CGGGGACCCCGGGATCGCCGAGGGACCGGGAGCGGACGCGGGCGGCGGGGGGATGACGCTGAGGTCTCTACCGGCCCTTGATCTGGGAGGCCGCAGTCAGGGGTTGGGACTGTCTCGAATGATCCCGGTGGGTGAGCCGGGGTCACGGTTTTCACCCTCGGTGCCCAGCAATCCTGGGAACAGCCACCCCCGGCCCAACTCCGTTTTCTGTTTTGTCGGCTTGAACTTCAGATTCTCGCCCACGGCGCAGTGGAAAGCTTTGCAGAGCGAGGTTTGGGGGTCACTTGCCCCCTGGGGGGATGAGTGACCTTGGGAAGGTCGTTGCCCTTTCCCCGGCGTGGGAAATGGATGGGGGGTTGGGGGGCAGGGCGGTCAGACTTGTCCGGGGAGATCGTCTGTCACCTTCTAACCACCCCCCGCCCCCCCGGACATAATGGAATGTCAGTGCAGTTCGCTGAGGACCCCTACAATTGTGACCCCCATAGTAACTGGATTTGTGTGTCTCTTTGCGGCTTGCCCATATTAGGCGCTTAATTAATTTTAGTTAACTGATCATTGAATTAACCACAGGCAAATTACCTTCGGATTTCACCTCCATAAATCCGGACCCCCGCAATTCCTTTGACAGGCGGAAGGAGGACTATGGCGATGATTAATAATCGTGCTGCAAGGTTGCTGATGTAAAGCGATTTGCAGGGATAAAGGGCAATAAGCATTCCTGGGAGGAATCCGGTGAGATTCCAGAAGTGTCTGAGGGAGCCGTGGGCGTGTGCCGCGGGCCTGAGGGGGCGGGGGTGGGGCGGGAAGTGTCGCAGTGGCCACTGCGGGAGCCGCCTCCCCACCCTCCCTCTGGGGAGCCCGCTTGAGGGGGGGGGGAGCGGTTAACCCTTCAAGCTGCTCAGTCGTGTGCCCCCTTCCCTCACACCCTCAGTTCTTCTGGCCAAAGGAATGTGTGTTTTTCAGAAGTTCAGAGGTTATTCTCTAGTTCAGCCTTTCTGTTTCACACATGGGGAGACTAAGGATCAGAGAAGTTGGTTCACCCATCCAAACACGCACAGCACAGCTGAAAAGACAGGTAAAAGCCAGGAGTATTTGTTCATTTACTTACTAAAGCCGGGGACAGTGAAACTAGGTAGGGCTTAGGATAGAAGCAACAGGAGAGAGCCTGGATGGGGCTGCTTTGGCTCTAGAAATGGTATAGGAAAGAAATTAGCTTTGGTGGGACTGCTGTCAGCTCACTGGAGAGTCAGAGAAAAGGGAGCTGGGAGACAGATTAGGGGCTTAGCCCAGGACAGCTCCCACTGTCCATTGCTCCCCTGGTTGCAAATCTTCACGGTGCCCTTAGAATTTAGGAGATACTTGCCCGAGGGGGGCGGGGGCGGGGGCAGAGGGGGGAAGGCAAAGGCATGGGCGTGCTTTCTGGAGGGAGAGCGCAAGAAAAGCCAGGATCTCTGACTTCAAACTAGTGCCCCTTCCACCTCACCTAGGTGCTCCTTAACCTCCGGTTTCTGTGGCTTCAGGACCCTCCTGCCTGGCTGAGCTGGTGGGGCGTATAGTAAAAATTAGTACTGACTTCAGGGCTCCTTTAGGCACCTTTGCTGCCCTACACAGCCCACAGCATAACACCAGGGGTGATGGCCAGGAGGTGTATACCCCCAAAGCTACAAGCATTCCTCCTTACAGTGGCGGAATGGCCACCTTTATCCAGAGACTCAGCTGTCCTGACATCAGTCTTAGCAGCAGCTGGTCGTTTTTCACAGTTACCCAAGTCTTGCACTAAGCTTTTCTCAGCCAAGACAACAGCAGACGGATCGCGTAGTCCAAACCCATGGAAATCCCTTTTCTCATCTTTGGAAGGTTTTTGTTTAATGGTACATAATGGTTAGAACCTTTGGGGGAATGCCTCTATTGTCTCTGTCTTCCTTTTCAGTCTCACTCAACTTCCTCTTACAGTCTATATTCTATTTCTTGCCTAACTTTAAGGCTGAATATGAAGACAGCTCAGACTGAGAGGACTGTCTGCGGCTGCCTCGGGCCATCCCAACTGGCTGATTTGAGGAGGGGTCTGGGATCCGCCACCTTCCTCTCTGATTCCAACTTGGAGCTAAAACAGCAGAAGCAGCAGCTCTGCCCCCTGGTGGACATGTGAGGCAGAGCGCCTCGAATTTCAGAAGCCGCATCTTGGCGCAGGTTGGGAAAAAAGATTTTCTTTGTTTACTCTGTTGGAAACAGCAAAACTTGGCAGAAGATAATTTCTCTCTCTCTCTCTCTCTCTCTCTCTCTCTCATTTCTTATGATCTGGTCGATTTGGATGCAGAAAACACTTCTGTTTTTCCCCCTCCTTGTCTGGACTGCTTTTTTCCTGCCTGCTAGCCAAACCCTGCCTCCCCGCACTCTCTTCAAATTCTATTTCAAATTCCACCTCCTTCATAACTTTCCTGACTCTCCTCTCCTATGTGTCTTTTGAAATACAGTTGTACACAGACCCAGCACACAGCTCCCTCTTACATGCTGTTTTTACTGTTGTTTCCTTGAAGCCTGGGGCCATGTCTTGTGCATCTTTTGTGTTCACAGTGCCCGGCACAGGGCCGGGGACAAAAACTGCTCTCAATAAGCTGATTAAGTGCTTAATTAATGGGTTAATTTCTACAGAAGCAGCTCTAGGCCCTGGCTTCAGTTAACCTTCCAGAACTCTAAGTTCTTTGGGGGAATCTAGATAGTGATCTAATCAAATGCAGCCTTGCACAATCAGGAGTTTCACAAAGCAGTTTCACAAGGGAACACCACCACCACCACCCAGGGAGGGGTGAGGAAGTTTGAAGTGGACTCTCAGAGGAATGAGGAGGAAGGTGGCGACATGGGAGAGTCACAGGATGAAAAACTAGGAAAGGGAGCGTCTGCTCCAGGGATGAGAGAGGCAGCACAGGCTCTGGAGCCAGTTTTAGATCCAGATGCCACCACTCGCTGTGCGGCCTTGGGCAGGTTTCCTCTCTGTGCCTCAGTCTTGTCATCTGTAAGCACAAGTACCCATCTCATAGTGAGATGATGAGGAAAAATGGAGTTGATAATTTGCAAAGTGCCAGAATAGTGCCTGGCACATAGTAAGTGCTATATAACAGTTTGTAAATGAATTTTTCAGCTTAGCTGTCATGTAAATGGAATAGGGGGACATTATATGATCTCTCCGTTCTCTTCTGCACCGACCTCCCAGGGCAGTGCACGAGCTTTGGGGTCAGTCAGGTCTGGGTTGGCTCTTGTCTCTGTTAGCAGTTATGTGACCTTGGGCAGATCACTCTGCTTCTTGGAACCTCCATTTTCTTATCTGAGAAATGGGGATAATTGTGTCTCCCTAAAAAGACTGTCGTGTGCATTACATTGCTTGTAAATGCCTGGTATAGAAGGAGCTTAATAAACAGAAGCTATAGCCAGATCGGCATGGCTCGGTGGTTGAGTGTCGACATATGAAACAAGAGGTCACGGTTTGATTCACACGCTCAGGTTGCAGGCTCGATCCCCAGTGTGGGGCGTGCAGGAGGCAGCCGATCAATGATTCTCATCATTGATGTTTCTATCTCTTTCTCCCTCTCCCTTTCTCTCTGAAATCAATAAAAATATATTTAAAAATAAACAGAAGCTATAGTTATTATCAATGAGAAGAGCCACATATAAAGGAGAATAGGATCTTTAAAATCTTTGATGTTTCAAGAAAGATTGAACATATTGAATAGCAATGAGACCAGCTCTAGTCACAGAGCTTTGGAGTAGGAGGGCAGGCCCTGAGTCTGGGATTTGACGAGATATCATGGCATCTGAAGAAACCAGAGATGGTTTGACTTGCACATTAGTTCTAGGAACATTTTCTGCCCAAGGGCTGCACTGAGGGTGTGGACCCAGGGGGGCTGGTGCCAGCAGCTTTAGGCCCTTCCTGCTCTCCTTCCCAGGATGGGGGACTATCAGGAGAGGGTGTGGGCCTTAGAAGCCTGTTGTTGTTGTTGTTGTTGTTGTGTGTGTGTGTGTGTGTGTGTGTGTACATGGCCCTGAGACATCCTTCCCCGGGAGTTGGACTCCCAGGCCTTGTGTGGCCTCCTCCATAGCAGACCTGCCTGCAATAGCTTCTCAGAGCTGCCATTCCCAGCCCTGATGGAGGGCACCCCAGCTTGATTGCCAGCGCTTATCCAGTGGGGGAGGGGAAGGAGGGTATGACAGTCTGAAAGCCAAATTAATTCCCTTCAGCGGCACATGTGGAAAAGTACTGAATGGAATATGCAAATGCTCTATGGAGTCCTTTGAGTTCTTTCTGAAGGGGAAGGAGGGTTGCAAAACCCAAGAACAGGGTGTTGCAATCCCAAGCATGTTGGGAGTCACTTTTATGGTCCTTCCACTTGACAGCTCTCGTCCCCTGTGACCCACGAGGAGTGGTTTGCTCCCCACAGGTCAGGCTCTGCACTAAGTTGTTGACCAGGGATTCCAACACCTGGACTCACCTACCTGAGGACCTGTTTGGGGGTCACAGAGGAATCTAGGACCCTCATTCCAAACACGTGTTTTCAGCACTTAGAACCGAACTCAAGGGTAGAATCATGGCTTAAAAAGAGTCATGAAGGTGCTGATATTGGTTGTCTCTGTGGAGGAGGGAATGTGTTTTTATTTTCTCTTTGTTTTACTTTCTGATTTTTTTGGGGGGCAAATGCATATTGCTTTTTTAATAAGAAAAAAATACTTTAAAAATGTTCCCAGCAGAGTAGTAACAGTGTGCAGTCCCTGGTACCAATGGGAAGGTAGCCTTGGCTCAACCAGTTTCTAGCTGTGTAATCTTGCAGAAACTGCTCTCTCTACACAATCTCCTCAACTGTAGAACTGGAGTGATAGTAGTAATCCAATAAGACTGTTGTGAGGATTGGATGAAACATGTGTCAAGTGGTGTCTGACACAGCACGTGATAAGCCCTTAGTAAACGGCGCTTGTTTCTGATTTACGGATTGTCTTTTTCCAGGGAAGATGTCTTGAAATTGAGGTCTGGTTGCCTGGGAAAGTTGGAGGGATGCCTGGGGCAGGTTTAAATGGTGAATGGGAAAGACTGTCGCTGGAGAGGGGCAGGAAGAAGTGGACAAGTAACAAAGAAGGGGTTGATGGTGGGTAGGGCGAGGCAAGGTTAGCAAAGGAGAGAGTGGGCTGTGGGGGAGAACGGGAACTCAGCGGACAGGGGCGAGATGTTCATGGGGGCCGTTTGGAGCAGAGACCCCAGGAAACAGAGCATGTGCCAGTTGCTGTGTGAGATCTGAGGTGGAGCTGTGTCCTCTGTCCCTGGCCCTCTCCAGGCTGCGTTCCGCCTTCCTCTCAGCCTCACGTTGCATCACTCGATGCCAGTCTTCTTTCAGTTCCTTGAGGGCGCCATGTTTCTCCCCGTTGCCTGACCTTTGTACATACTGTTTGCCTTGCCAGGAACTTCTACTCTTTTTCTGGCTCACTCCTAGTCGGCCTTCAGATCTCAAGCTTAAAGCTCGATTCTTTACAGAGGCCTTCCCTGACCGTTCGGTATAACCCAGCCCGCTGCCTCCCGTTCCTCTCTCAGGCCCTCTGTACCCGGATATCAGTGCCAGGGTTGGTAGTTGTATATGTTTGTGATTATGCACCCTTTGGTGTCCCTCCTGGGCCGAAAGCTCCAGGGCAGCAGGACCAGCACATTCTAATTTGCTCACTATTGTGTCCTTGATGGCCAGCACGTAGTAGACACTCAATAAACATTTATTGAAATGGCAGAAGAATAAGCCACTTCGTTTGTGACCTGTAAAATGCATTTGCACCTCTCCCCTGGCTTACCTCCGTCTGGATTGGTGCTGGCTGATTGGTTGAAGGAACAGGAGATTTGGGGACTGTGAGGGATGCCTTAGCCAGTTCCTCTCTCATCCCCCTTTTCTCCTGAGGAAGCAGGCTTCCCTTTCCAAAACTAAAAGCTTTAAATCAGTGTTTCTCAAACCTAATATATATATATATGTAAATTACTTGGGGATATTCTTAACATGCAAATTCTGATTCTGGAGGTCTAGAGTATGGGCCAGGATTCTGCATCTCTAACAAGCACTTGGTGATTCCCATGCTGTTGGACCATTCTGAGAGCCAAGATGCTCAAACTACAGCCTCTTTCTCACCTACAGGACACTGTGATCCCCAAGCTTAAGGCTGAGTCGCTGTGCCCTCTGTCGGCCACTGAAGGGCATGACAACTGACCAAGTAGATAAAAGACAGCATGCATGAATGTTAGATTAAAACACACAATTCTTGGGGAACAAGATCTGCTAAAAGATTATGATAGCGTTAGGAAATGTACCTTTGACTCTGTGAGGGATCCCGGCCGTGTTGAGACAAGAGGAACTTGCGAAACTGGAGGATGTTAGGGTTGGGAGGAGCCTTTACACACACCTAGTCAGTCATTTCCTTGTTCTTTTTGCGGCTGTTTGCCCTCCGTCCCTCTTTTTATATTTTATTTTATTCCCCCCCCCTTTTTATTTTTTAAATAGCAGAGGGCTTTCTTCATTATTATAACTTTCATGGGCTGTAAGCACTTTGGCCTTTGTGTGCCCCTTCCTCTATAAAAATTATATTTTATTATTGCATTGGCATAAAGGCAAGTATATTAAAATCTACATCATTTTTTTTGACATAAAATATATAGGGTGTCCCAAAATTCACACAAGATTTGCAATTCAATTCAATTGCAAATCTTGCGTGAATTTTGGGACACCCTATATTTTCTTGTAATTTAAAAAAGAAATTAAAACATGTCCATTGGTTCCTAAAAATACTGTGGGCTTTAGGCCCCTTGCCTCCTATATCAGCCCTGTTTTCCACCTGGTGGCCGGGTTATATCTCCCTGCACACGTCTAAGGCTGTCCTAGATGCCTCGAGGTCTGTTATCCTCAGGTGAGGATTAACAAAAAGAAAAAAGAAAGAAAGATGTCTTCTGGACCCTCCCAGTGTGGGCGAATAGATCTTAAATGGCAAATCCACTTTAACATTCAATCTCCCTAAATCAAGGGAGGTCAGGCAATCTGCTTGATAAGACCCCCTGCTTTCCCCTAAGGGAAGATGACTGCCTGAAATAATCCACTCTTTTTTTTTTTTACGTTTTTATTGATTTCAGAGAGAGAGAAAGATAGAAACATCAATGATGAGAGAGAATCATTGATCGGCTGCCTCCTGCACACCCCTCACTGGGGATGGAGTCTGCAACCAGACATGTGCCCTGACCGGGGATTGAACCATGGCTTCCCGGTTCATAGGTTGAGGCTCAACCACCGAGCCATGCCGGCTGGGCCTGTATTGCTTTTTAAGCAAGAGACCAAGTTGAACATGTTGAACGACTTAGACATATAAGGTGCTGAGTGCTTACTCTGTGCCAAGTGCTTTAAACACATCTTTTAAGTTTCAGAACAGCCTCGTTCGGTAGGAATCACTACCATGTTATCCCCATGAGAAAATCAGAGTTGAGGGGACACCACTTTCCTCCCATCACAGGACTAGTAGGTGGCAGATCCGAGATTTGAACCCAAAGGGTTCAGTCTGATCTCCTCGGAAGGCCATGTCCCTGATGTGACAGGGTATACAATGAGGTGCCTGCCTGGATATACGTCCCCAAATGCATGTGAGGGGACCTGGGCTGCCAGAGGGCAAGATGTCAGGGAGAGCGGGAGGGTCTCAGGGAAGAGGGAGACCAGAGGCGGGCTTTGAAAGGACACTGACTGCATAGATGACGTGGCAGGGAGGGCATTTGGGGCCACAAGAGTGTGAGGGGGGTTCTGTGGTTTAGGGGACCACGGAGTGATATTCCAAGCTGGAGGGAACTCAAGGTTAGGGAAGAGAGGGCGACAAGGCAGGGTATGGCTATGGAGGGTGAGAAATTTGGGCCCAATTTAATGTTTAATGAGAGGTTCTTTGTTTCCTTGAGTCCTAAGACCCAGGCCTGAATTATCAATAACAGCAACGTTTTATCCGCGTCTCAGTTCCTTATCTATCCAACGGGAGTTATAAAGCTGGCCCTACACTCTCAGAGATGTCAGGAAGCTCAAGTGACTGTCAGCCCCTTAGGGTAGGGAGCCTGTGTCAGAAGGCAGGCTGTATCCCCAGGGCCTGTGTGCTCACTACACATTTGATGAAGGAATGGACATCATATTCTACAAATCCCTTTACAAGCTGCAGCATGGCTGGAGAAAGCACCCCAACCCAAAAGAGGGTGCTTGTCAGTGACACAAGGTTTTGTAGGAGGAACCATGGGGGTCTCTGCAGCGCTGTGGGTTGAGAATTTGCACCCCTGAACTCTCCTTTAAGCTTTAGGATTTAGGAGGCCAAGACATTTAACCCTAAATTCTTATATCTAAATCTACCTTAACTCTGGCTTGCTAACTAGAAATATAGCTCATTCCTTCTATTTCATGTTCTCTTAATGTTTTAGATACTTAATACAGTTGTAACTAACTTTATTTTTTGGGGGTGTGTGTGT